ATATAACTATATATAGTTTCGCCAAAATAATTTTGTAATCAACCGTATCAAATGCATTAGAAAAGTCTAAAAACAAACCACAGGTTAATTTCTTATTATCAATTGCTAACTTTATTCTATCTGTAATTTCCAGAATGGCTTGCTCTGTGGAATAGCCTTTTCTAAACCAAATTGATAGTCAAATATTAGTTTGTTTTTAGTAAGAAAACCTTCTAGCTGTTCATATATCAAACGTTCTAGCACCTTTGCAAATGGTGATAGTATCGATATTGGTCGATAATTGTTTGGGTCAATTTCTATGCCGTTCTTGTAAATTGGTGTAATACGCGAGATTTTTAGAACATTTGGGACAACACCAGTATTTATTGATTCATTATAAATAGAAGTGAAAATTGGAGCTATAATAGATGATGAGATTTTTATAATGGTATTAGGGATGCTGATGGAAGACTTATTTCCATCGAGTGAAAAACAATTGTCTTACTTGTGATTCAGTCACAGATGACATGACAAAACTTGATACAGGCGAATTATGTATGTATGCTCTTGGGCTGGTAAGGGGTATATTTAATTTGTTTGCCAAATTGGCGCCAACATTAGCAAAGTGTTGATTAAATTGATTAGCTATTTCATATTTATCGGTGTATATATTTCCATTTCTTATTAATCGCGTAGGAGACAACTGCCCTTTCGGCTGACGTCTGATTAGATTGCCAATGAGCTTCCATGTTGCTTTCAAGTTGGTTTTATATTTTTCAAACTGGTTATTATAATATTTAGTTTTACTTATAGCTTTAATTTTATTCAATCTATTGGCATACTGTTTATACTGCATAACTTTCCTCGCATCGTTGCTAAAAAATGTGAGCGATACATTCGCTGCTTAATTTTAATTGATTTTAGAATACCATTACTTCATCCACGGTTTATCAAATTGTTTAGTCTTACTACGGAGGACTTCCTTTATCGGTGCATGGTTTTGTGTTACTTCTTCTAAGGTATCAATTACATTCTTTGTGGCATTATTTTTCATTTTCACTAACTGCGAGAGCAATTGATTTCAATTGGAGGAATTAATGATAAAAACTTAAAATGTTGATAGCATGATAGTATACGATGGATTTTAAGGTTAGCTACGCAACTGTCTATCTTTTAATCCTGTAATTGGCACAGCAGAATTGCTTGTATTACGCCAGGCTCTCGCTTTTGAGATAACCTAGCGTGTATTTTCATGGCGAATTTTTAACAAGAATGCATGGTACTAATTTCGTTTGTTTCTGCTTGAATTCAGGAGACATGTACAAGTTCGACATGATATAAACAGCTCTTGTATAGCTTGAATGTCTTTTTTATTTTATTCTTATTAAATTGATCATTAACCCTGAACTGCTTGCGAACAGTAGCAATATTCGACAAGTGGTTCATGGCGTCATCTAGCTGGGGTTATATATAGGAAAAAAGTGCATGGGAGTTAGCTAATAGAGAATAGGCTGTTTCTAGTACTTTATAACTGACGCTGATGCGAAGGGGAAAGAAAAAATAAAATAAATTACAGTTGGAATTCTGTTCCGAAATACACAGCAACAGCATATGCCACACGTAAATGACAGCAATTGGAATCCTAAATATTTTCCTGAAACATACGAAACGGTATTTCATATAAAAAAACAACCAGCCAATACTCCTTATTATTAACTTTTTGGCCGGCACATTTTAGAAACCCTTAAAATTAGGTTTCATAGAAATACTGGGTGACGACTGCCATTCGCCCGTTAAGTTAGCCCATGCACGTACTATTTATGACAGGCATTCGCTTTTTTGAAAAAAAAAGATATATAGTTAATTTAAATTTTTAAGTAAAACTGCAAATTCATGCAGTTATATTGCATGCTTCTATAATTTTCAGTTTCGGTAGTATACATTGGTTTTTGAATTGAACAGTTCATGAGGGGCCTCGATCGTTCTCCTGAAGAAATTAAGTCGTGGTGTTTTGGTTTTCAGTGTTGCGGTCTTTTTAAACAGCATTTCGGTTATTAGAGCGGTATGGCGGTATAAGTTGTAGCTACGTTGTTTTTTTTTCCTTTTTAGCTCGAAGTAGCTATCTATGTCAACACGGATATAATAATTTATTAAGGTTTTTTGATGATTTTTTGAGCGCAATGGTGCATGGGTACTGCATGCATGCATGTAAGCTTCGTGCAATGCTCCCCTCCCCTTAAGTTCGAATGCAAAAACCATAAAACATTACTAATAAAAATGGTGACTTTCTAACCACAATAAATGCATGGGCCTAATTTCGTTTCTGCTTGAATTCCGGGGACATGTATAAGTTCAAAATTATAATAGTAAAACAGTTCTCGTCAAGCAAACAACACTTTAGTTCTTTACTCATTGGCTGCATTGTCAAAATAATGTCATTTGTGTTGTGCATGAACAAGTCATTTTCATCAACGTTAAGTAGCTTAACTGAATGTCGTTTTTCGTGTTAAATTTGTCCCTCTGAACTGCTCGCGATCATGAACGCTAACACCACTCGACAAATGGTTAATGCATGCCTGTGTGGGTGCGGATGCGAATGGGAAAGAGAAAATAAAATAAATTACAGCATAGATAAGGCTTTCTCATTGGGAGATTGAGTGGAAGTCTTTTCCGAAATACACAGCATATACCACACGCAATTGGAATCCCAAATCTTTTGCCGAATCTTTTGCGAAATATACTATTTTTCATTATCTGTAAAATAATGTGAGTGGTCATATAACAATAAATACCCTTAAAATGAGGTTTGATAGAAATACTGAGTGACGGCTGCAATTCGCCCGGTAACAACACTCGACAAATGGTTAATATGGCTGTGTGCATGGGTGCGGATGCGAAAGAGAAAGAGAAAGAAAATAAATTACAGTGCAGATAAGGCTTTCTCATTGGGAGAATGAATGGAAGTCTTTTTTCGAAATACACAACATATGCCACACACATTGGAATCCCAAATCTTTTGCCGAATCTTTTGCGAAATATATTTTTTTTCATTTTCTGAAAATAATGCAAATGTTCATAACAATAATTACCCTTAAAATGAGGTTTGATATAGATACTGAGTGACGGCTGCTGTTCGCCCTTTAAGTTTGTCAAAACTAGGCTACATAATAATGCACGTACTGTTTACGAGCGGCATTCGCTGTTTTGAAAATAAAAGATGATTAATTTTTTTAATTTTTCAATTAACTAAAACTGCAAATTAAGTTATATTGCATGCTTCTATAATTTGCACTTCAAGTTTCAGTAATATCCGGTGTTTGAATTAAATTAAGTAAGGGGCCTCGATCGTTCTCCTGAAGAAATTAAGTCGTGGTATTTTCACTATTTTAGTTTTCAGGTCTTTTAAACCGCATTTCGCTTATAAAATTTTTAGAGCGGTATTTCGGTTATATATATACCGTGTTGTACGGTACGCTGTTTTTTCCTCTTAGCTCAATGTATATAATCTTTTTTTTGGTGATTTTTTGAGCGTAATCGCGCGTGTACTAACTATATGCATGTATCTTCCATGCAATGCTACCTAGCTCTCACCTTCTAGTTTGAATTTAAAAACAGTAAAATATTGCGAATAAAAATGGCGAATTTTTAACCAGAATGGGACTAATTTCGTTTGTTTCTGCTTGAATCAAGGGTACATGTATGTAAGTTCAAAATTATAATAGTAAAACAGTACTTATGAAGCAAACAACACTGTAGTTCCTTAATCCTAGGCTGCATTGTCAAAATATCGTCATTTGTGTTTTGAACAACTCATTTTCATCAATGGAAAATAACTTCAATGTCGTTTTTCGTATTAAAATTAATCACTCTGAACTGCTTACGCGATGTACGGTAGCAATATTCGACAAATGTTCATGCAATGGCTGTGTAAGGTCATAATTTTATATCGGAAAGAAGTGGGGGTTAATAAAAAGTACAGGCTGTTGCTAGCAGTTTATAACCGACGCGGATGCGAAGGGGAAAGAGAAAAGAAAAATTACAGTAGTCTAGATAAGGCTACGTCATTGACAAAATAAGTGGAATCCTTTTCCAAAAGTACACAATACACAGCACAGCATATGCCACCGAAAAATTGTTAAATAATGTGAATAGTCATATAATACTGAATAACCACCCATAAAAGGAGGTTTGATAGATATATTGAGTGACGGCTGCTATTCGCCCGTTTGTCGAAACTATATACTGTATGCGTGTGTTCCATATATATGTGTGTATACTGAATGCATGTGTGCTCGATGCAATGCTCCCCCTCCTCTTGAAGTTCGAATTCAAAAACAGTAAAATATTACTAATTAAAATGATCTTTGGCGCATTAAGTATAAACACAAACATTTTACTCTAAGACAGTCATGACATTAGACAAATAATTTAAGAAGTCCCCTTACTTATTAACCTAGGTATATATTGTGCTTATAGCAACGTAATTAAATTTTTCTTAAACACAACCAACACGATACTGTACCTCACGATACAGTTCTATTCGTTTTCTTTCCTGGTCATACCTCTAGGAAACGTCTCCCATTTTATATATTTTTGATCAGACAAAAGACGATTTAAATGATGCTTGTAGCAGCTACCTTGATCTTGCTGTTGCTTGATATTGGAAACGTTCTTGCAAACCAATGTTTTCCAAGAAGTTACTTAATCATAAAAGGCGAGTCATCCCTAATGTTGTTTAGTAAAATATCATTGACGTTAAATTTCGTTTAAAAGACTAACAATTCTTTTAGTCATGTGTAAACTGACCTATACAAGATTCGATATTTGCATTTTAAAATTTTTATCATTATTGAGATGTTTTGGTGTCCTATAAGAATCTCGTTAGTAAAAGATATTGTTTTTATTTAATACTCCATGATTAAAATGTATTTACCCATCCAATCATACAGATAAATTCGGATTCAATTCTCGTTCCAAAAGTTTTAACGAGTCTCCTTAAAATTTTTAGGTGGTCCATCATTGCCCGCTGATGAAATAATATCGAGACACAATATTACATCTTTACATGTCATGTTAGGATGTCACAATCATTGCAAAGACGAAAACAAATGTGTTGGATTCAACTACAGAACGACAAAAAATGTTGAAAATTGCCAACTGACAAACGTTACTAAAGAAAGAGAAAAAGTAAAAGCAGGAGATTGGGTATTGATGCTAGATATTGAAGCGGTGAGGTTTGCGAGACTCTTAGCTTGTATTTACATACACATCGGCACATCCGCATGTAGAGCTATAACCGCTTTAAAATTGCAAGCCGGCAATAGATAAATTATATCTATATTAGCAGGAAAATAGAATGGATTAATTGGAGTACAAATATATTTGCTCCGATCAATGACGGGCTAACGTTTCTCCGGCAATATTTACGCTTTCGTGAAAATCTTACGCATTTGAGAAATGATTGGTGACAAATTTAATTATAAGTTCGTTTTTTAACAACAAAAACTTTTCTCAAAGTTAACGTTGTGCGGTGTTTGCAAAATTTTTAAGGCAAACGGATATCACTTCCTCCCAGTTCGTATAGAAATAAAAGGCACTTATTATAATTTTATAACGTTTGGAATTGTCTTTTGCTGGGGTTGCCAAAACACTTGTCACCACAATATACGCATGTGTCGGCAAGTTGTGGGTAAATAAGTTCCAGAAATAAGAATATGAGTATAATTTGACAACGAAATTTAAATTAATGCTTTAGGTTGTTTCTGTTTTTGAGTTTTGATCTATATTCGGGTTTAACGCCAAATGACGATATTGAAGATAACTAAATTTTCCTATGCAAACTATAAAACAAGCTAAAGAAAGAATCGAGTATGTAATTTTAGAAATAATCTAATATTTGTGAATGTAATTTGTCTTGTTTCAAACTACGGCAATGTTGTTGTAATCAATTTTGAATAGACAAAGAACGAGAAACGAAACAGAGAAAATTTCAACGGAAGTGCGGGTACTGTTCTAAAATTCTCAAAAATATATAGTTGGTGTACCTCGACTCCCTGAATATTTATATATGCTTTTTTGTTTGGGTTTTACGATGAGAAAACTTGTTTTTCTTGTGTTTTTTTAGACACTTGTCTCCCTGGTTATGCAATGGTCGGAAAGAATTGTACAGGTAAACAATCTGCCTCCACTTCTCAAGCTCTGCGATGGTTATAAATTTCCAAAGGTTAAGATTCAAATCTTCCAATGAAGCTCATTTTAAGGACGCCTGTAAATTAATGTATCCTAATGTGAACTGTTTTATTTTGATTGATTTGAAATGATCATTTGAAACATTTTTAAATCATTTGCTGCTTTAGACATTGACGAATGTTTGCATGTATCAGCCAAAGTATGTCACTCAAAAGCAAGTTGTAACAATACGAATGGTTCATACAACTGCACGTGTCTCACTGGATATTCAGGAAATGGAAAGAACTGCACAGGTAAACAAATTACGTATAATAAATATCACGCTTTTTATCGTTTAAATATGCTTTATATACTTTCTGAGAAACTCACATTTTTAGACATTGACGAATGTGCAAATGTATCTGCCAAAGTATGTCACACAGATGCGAGTTGTAACAATACGAATGGTTCATACAACTGCACGTGTTTCTTTGGATATTCAGGAGATGGAAAAAATTGCACAGGTATGTAAAATATTTAACGTCGACTTTATACTTTCTAAGTATTCTATCCGTCAAAAGAATGCTGGCACACTCGACTTCATAAAACAGAACAATGTCGCACCAGACTCCTTACATGCAGCTAGAAGTACTTATATTGATAACTCTGTCTACTTGGAACCTCTAAATATATAAAAAAAGTCTATCAAAATAATCTTGCCTGAACATGTTATCCCATTTCCAGCAAATCCTCCGCGACAGTGACATTCGTAGGAGCTAATAGTGTTATTGCAGGTGGCGTTTGAGCTACATTTGTTAGTTCCCATGGAACACTCGTCAACATCTGAAATAAACGATAAAGAGTTCATAAACTATAATTATAATATGATAGAAATTCTTGCGTTAAAAATGGATCTGACGCCTATAAAATGTAAGTGCATGATCTTCGACTAGGCTCCTGACATGATCGTTTATTTCAGACGTTGACGAGTGTTCCCTGGGAACTCACAAATGTCACTCAAACACAACCTGCAATAACACTATTGGCTCCTACGAATGTCGCTGTCGCGGAGGATTTGTTGGGAGTGGGAAAACATGTTCAGGCAAGAATATTTTAATCGATTTTTTATATAGCTAGAGGTTCGAACCAAGTAGACAGAGTTATCGATATAAGCACTACTAGCTGCATGTAAAGAATCTGGTACGACATTGTTCTGTTTTATGAAGTCGAGTGTACCAGAATTCTTTTGACGGATCATTTCTTAAATGCAATGCAATGCAATTCATGAAGATATATTAAACAGTGTAAGTGGTCTTCGACTAGGCTCCTGACAAGATCGTTTATTTCAGACGTTGACGACTGTTCCCTGGGAACTCACAAATGTCACTCAAATGCAACCTGCAAAAACACTATTGGCTCCTACGAATGTCACTGTCGCAGAGGATTTGCTGGAAATGGGACAACATGTTCAGGCAAGATTAATTATTTTACATTATATTAATTTTACAATCTTTTCCACGGAAAAGAACCTTTTAAACTTTTTAATTTTTTTCCTTACTTTCCCCCCCCGATCTTAAATTTTAAAAGGCAACCTTACTTGAATAAAATGACATTATAAATTGTAATACTTTGCAACAAAATTGTCTCCCCGTTAGTACATTACATATAAGGAGATAGAAAATAATTATTCGTCTAGCTCATAAAAATATTTCTACATTACCAAGGTAATGTAGCCTCAAAGGTTTTAACAAGTTGTATTTACTTACCATAGACCACGTTGGTCATATTCGGCAAATTTTCTCCCGGTAAAGAGGGCTCAGTTTTTCAGCGGTCTTCGCATAAAAAATTAAAAGCTTTTCGTTTTACGCCTTGCTCTCAATTTTATGTAAGTTGTCCGCTGACAATATGAGCCTGCACGAGTGGGAGAAACTTAGCTAAGTTGGACCAGCGTGGACGGCGGAAGATCGTTAAGTGGAGGTGGGGGCTAATATATTCTCGTTCCGCATTATGTATTTTCTTTTAAAATTTATTGCGTATTATTTTAACTTTCGCGTGCATTGCGGTGTATTTTGCGGGCTAAAATGATAAATTTGCCGTGCTGAGTTATATTTTAGCCCACTGATCTAAGCCAGTTAGAAGAATGACTATGCTCTGGAACATCAACGCTATTGTTACATTATCCCCGAGCGGCCGCGAAGCGCTAGCGAGGGTACTAATTTCGCGCTGAGATTAGAATTACACACGGAACGTTCTGATTGGCTGAGACAGAAAGTTTGTATTTCAATGAGAACGTCAGCAATTTAACTGTCATTTCGTAAACGTTTTTGTAAAAGCATTTTTTAAACTTTCAATGTCTCCACGGTTTTTTTGGTAATGGAACAGAATGTTTAGGCAAGTAATATCTAAATAGACATTTTCACAAGGCATTCCATGTTGAGGCAGGGCATTGGTTTTGCTAATAAGAATTCCTTCAATATTATATATTTATAGTCCATGAATTGGATTCAGACATAATGGCCGGCGAGTCACCAGAATTTACAAAACTTTTGGGAATATGGCTGCCGGTGTCAGGGAATTGGAGAGTTTGTTGGCGGCCGCAAAGATACGAATCAGGTGAGGAGGAAATTAAAAAATTTCATGATGGATGCGACGGAAAAGTCCCGACATTGACAGTTGTAAAAGTTGTAAGAAATGGCACTATTCTTATCTTTGGAGGATTCGCGACAGCTAAATGGGCAGCTATCTCATCGTCTCGGTCTGCTCCAGGTTCCTTTTTGTTTTCATTTCGCAATAACGATAATCTCCCGCCGTTCAAATTGCCTCTGAAAGATCCGAGTAACAAAGAAGCAATTAAATCAAACAAGGACTCTGGGCCTAAATTTGGAGCTGGACCTGATTTTAGCATTTTTGACAAAACTGTTAGTCACCAAACATACAAAAGTTACGCAAATCTAGGTTATTCCTATCAAACTCCGCCTGGATATACCTTTGGTAAAAGCAAAACACAATCCCTCCTTGCTGGCAGTCTAGTTTTTTCTCCAGGAGAGGTGGAAGTGTTATATTTAAACTGAATGTTATTTGTAAAGTGCACGCTTAACACAATTGGCAAATCTTCAAGACAGGCATCGCAATATAAGAACAAGCGGATATAGACCGTTAAATGAACATATAATAATAAGGGCTTTTTAAAGGGTAATTTCGGAAAGCCCTCTTTTGACATTCGAAAATTATATCAATGCTTTTCGGTGTATTATATAATATTTAAAAAACTCATTAATAATTCATGAGTAAATTTCAAAAGAAATTAATGTTTAATCAGTGTCTTTATATGTGATATAGATTCATGTTCATTTACATAAACTTTAACTTTGATTTTCTCGGCTTTGACAAGGTTTATTTTTAAAATTTCTTCGCCATTGAACTCATAAGATGGATACGTTTTTTAAGCCAATTAAAAAAACTCGTAGATCGTGCTTTATCACATCTAAAACACTCCGCTTCGTGTTTTATATGTGATAAAGCACTCCTACTCGTTTTTTAAATAGTACATGGTATCAGTATAAAAAGTCATGAAGGCCCGTTTACACTTGCGATTTTTGCCGTGATTTTATGTACGATTTTCCTCTTTTGATGTGAACGAGTGAATTAGTTACGAAGCATTTGTAGCTGCTCACTCGCCATTTTCCCGCCATTTCAGATCACATGGGAAAAATAAGAACAGTGTTTGTAAATAATGATTTAGCGCTAAAATTCATTTTGCACGAGATTATTCTGAAGGAGGTTTCTAGTTATCGTTTAATAAGGAATCTCCGATACTTGCACTGAATGTATGTAGTTAAGAAATCGCATAAGAGTGATCCTATAAACCTACGTGCTTGCACTAGTTTGATTGGAGGAAAAAAAATAAATGCACTTCCAGAGACAAATTACTGCTTTATTGGTTATGTTTCTAGCCGTCTCCCTGAACAATCTCTACAGCTTCTCAACGCAATAGCCAACAGCCTGACGATTTAGTCCGCGGCTATGCAAATTTTAAAATATTGCAGTAAGTCATTCTTAAAAATTATTAGCACATCAGATTAAGACAATGTACATGCAGACATGAACGTTTTCGAGTGTTTTCTTTTTCGTTTTCATGCCAAAACAGTTTTAATTCAAATACCGTCAATTTACCATAAAAGTTGATTTTAGTCATTTAACATTGAGCATATTTTTCCTTGGATCATGTGGACAAGGCCTCAAAGCGATAAACGATTTTGAAAACGTACGCTCTAAAAAGACGTTCGTGTGTACATAGCCTAAACTCAAAAACTAACTACACTCTAAAACTGTTCATGGCACTTGGATTAAGAAAGCGATTCTTTGAGAACACGAACTTAGATTTGAAATATTACTCATAATGCCCATGCAACATTTTAATGCTATCTGTGGGATGAGGAATTTAGATATATTTATGAGTTCGTCCGTTCATGATCACATTTTTAAACTCAGCAACCATCTTTCGTAAGGCAAAATATACATCTGCTGTTGTTGGTTCGGGGTCATCTCTGTCGTTCCAACAACGGCCACATATTGGGATATTTACAAAAATCTCGACCGGGTCATTCACGAGGAATCCTCCATCAGAGAGAAAAAATCCCTGAAGTTCGCATATCTGCCTGAAGACAACCTCGCCCGGATCCTCTGCCATGAATGTAATTATCTTCTCAAGATCAACCGTTGTCTTTTTGAGCCCTTCCTTCGTTGTAACAGAAATGACATTATCGATTAACTCGCGGACAGTTTTGTGTGCGACATGATCGCGAATATGCTGGAAAATTCCAACTCCCCTCTCCACCCATCCAAACAAAAGACCACTGCATGCATTCTCTCTCGAACTAGACTTCATGAGAAATTTCTCTCCGCATTTTATTTCGTTGATAGGTTGTTCATCAAACTCAATCGTTTTGATTTTGTAGCTATCTTGCAGTGCCATCAGATTCTTTAATTCCTTTTGAATGCTTTCCTGGCAAGAGATAGCTGGACGCCCGTATTTAGGAGCTTTGCAAACCAGTAAACCAACTGAAGGAAAATCACTAAGATGGCAAGCAATCTTGTCGTATCCCCCCTTTTCTATCTCACTGCACAACAGGTCATAGCTCATGCCACCTTTCTTTGACTGCTCCACCAATTTTCGAGCCGAATCGAACTTATCAATAATTTTCTTGGACGAATCATCTTCGATCATACAACCAGTTGATACAAAAAGGACAACAAATGGAAAAAAAGTCATGTGTATTTCCATTTTTCTTTATATACCTAAATAAAAGCAAGGAAGGAGTGAGACTAAGTTCTTGTTGCAACATGCGCATGCGCCATGTTATAGTATAACCTAATCGGTCGATCTGGCCTGAACCAAAATATTCTCCCCTGGCCCTGGGTGCGAGCAACACAGCTCGATTGGGGGTGACATACTGCAGGGACAATCGCGTTTAGAGGGAAGCATCGTCAACTTTCGATAGATATAATAATAATAAAGTATTTCTATAGCACACAATCAAATTCTGTTCTAGACACTTCACAGTAATAGAAAATCCAATATTAAGACTATTAAAATGTCTAGGCCTGTTTCAGACGTCGAACTTTTCATGTGCCGAAGCCAATGCAAATGAACTTAAACAAAGACTTTAGTTTATTAACATTACGTTCAAGACATGAAAATTAAAACGTCCAAACCTTAATACGATATCAAATGATGTCAAACATTAAAAAAAGTGTTAAGACCAAGTATATTACACACTTAATGTATGCTCCCGAGGGAAATAGTGAGTTTTGTTTCCCCAAGAGTCTGAAAGTTTTCCCGAGACGAAGTCAACAGACACATTGAGACTCGAGGGAAAACAACGTCTCTGATTATTTACTCGCTTTGAGTTAACTGAAATTGGACGATGAATAATACGTTCTGGAATGCTACGAGTTTTTTAACCTTGATCTGATCATAATTATATATTGTGATACGGTAAAACTTGTTTCACGCCTTTTTTGGTCAAGAAATGAGGGGAAATCGCAACATTCGGGGAACGAAGTTCACATATCAAACATCTCTGGTTGCATTTCAAACAGCGCTCCTATTCGGTTATTGGAAAATCAATAGGCAAGATTTTTCTTGTGGTTATTCTACCAGGTGGCAATATCACTCTTCGAAAATTAACATGATTTGGAAGTTAGCATGTGCAATTGTTCACAAACTGGTGGCAAACTGGTAATTCAAACTTGATGTTTCTGAGGCTGATTGGATGTTGTCAGTATTTCGATACTGTATTTTATTGTAGGCTATATCAGCTTCAGTATCATTTTAAACTCTACAAGCTGACTCTAATTATAATCAAACAAATTATTTTGATAGTATTTTATCACTATTTCCACAAAATTGCGTGTAGTTCAAAATTCCATGATTTTATAGTTTTATTGGTAAATTTAAAATGGTTTGCTAGTCCCGGTAAAATAAGCATGGTTAAATCGTGCTTTTCAAGAATGAAAACTGATATAGTCAGAAAAAAGTAATATGTTGAAATGCACTGAGACTAGGTGAAGTACGGAAACAAAAATATTCCAACTTAGCTAATACAATATAGTAAGCTCCATTAGTTGTTTGAATTTTAAACGGATATACATGATCCAATATCAGTATATATAAAAGGTTTTTCGAAGCGTTATTGGAAATTTTGGAACCTGAAACAGACTTTCAGAATCGTGCACATTACTTCACAAAGAAAATTTTGATACTTTACGGGCATATCCTGTACTTAGTATGGTGAAACTTTGCATGCAGTAAACTCTGGGAAAAAGATAATGTGGAAGATACAAGTTTTACTAGCTAAATAGCATGTATCAGAAGAGTGAAAATGGGAGACGTACCTTAAGTGTGTGACAACATTCCAAGTGTATCACGCTCCGAAATAGTAAAATTTCAATGTTTGAAGTCATTCACCGTGACCACGGGTTTGTCAGAGAAGCAGGTTAGAACAGGTTGTCTCTATTTCCGTAACTGCTTGGGCCCGCGTTACTAATGTACTTGTCCTTGTAAAGGTTTTTGGAAACAGAATATCAATCAGGTAATTCTAATGCAAAGCTGCATGAATGTAATGGAAAATTATATTTAGTTAAAAAGAGAAGGATGTTTTGGTGGCGCAATCTAACAAAAGCTTTTTAGCGTGTGTTGAGAAAGCGTGGTGTCAAACAACTTATCCTCAAAAACATGTTTTAGTATTATATCAATGGTTCGTTTCAAAGGCACATTATAGTAAAAAGTGATTGCACATCAAATGAGAAGAAACGATCAAAACATCTTTTTCGTTTGATAATAATTTCTATGAGCAATCAGACGGCGTTTCTCTGGGTTATAACTAGTTTACCTCCGGTACTATCGAATATTATACAGCTCACTGAATTCGAGAAAGTCACTGTAGGTGATTTGTTATAGAAAATAGAAATATAAAATTTAATTTTATCGTAGGTATGTTGACGACAGAAAGTCTCGTATTGATTAGGCCGAAGACATTCTTTTGGTCGTTGGAATAGACTTAAAAGCTTGAACAAAACTAAATCTAAGGTTCACAGCAGACAATTTTCACAATGAAAAAATTCATTTCTTAGACTTAAAAATTTCCACCTCAGGCATTGATTTTTTCGGAAGTCAACACATACGGGTCAGTACACCTGTTTTGACAGTTTTGAGCCTTGCATGGTCACGCAAAACAGCATGGATTAGGTCGAGACGTAAAAATACGTAGCAACTTTAGTTAGTTCTTTTACCCAAACAGGTCGATCTTTATGATCTCCAAATTCATATATTGGAAAGGCTTTGAGTCATTCGCAAACTCACAAACAAGAACCAACATTCTTGTATTCTATCAAATTGTCTGCTGGTAATGGTTTTTAAAAATTTTAAGACAACAGCTATGATTTGCTATTTTTGCCCAATGCATGCATAGCATTAACTCTTCTATTCCTAGAATATTTATATCGTAATCTTCGCTAGAGTCTTAACTTTCACACCAGAGAGAATTTTTAATTTGCTTCATGTTGATGAAACGTTAAGATTATTAAAAATATTTCATACAGAATGCATGTATAACAGTATAACTATATAGGCTGCACGAAAAACTCAGATAAGCCAAATGTACATGTTTACTACAAGTTAGACTCTGTATGCAGGGTTCAGTGTAATAGCGCCCTCCATCGCATCGCGAGTTAAATTGCTTTAATGTCAAAGCAAAAAAATTGGATCAAAATAATTTCATAAGAGTGTCTAGCAACAAATAATTGATTACCTAGTTTAAAACAATATGACGTTAGAATTCTTATTCTCCACTCGATCAAAAAAAAGGAAACATATTTTAAAGGCTCCAGCTTTGGGTAAAACAGCAAAAGATATTTTAAAAGCTGAGCAAGGTAAAAAAAATTTGTATAATAGAGCTTTATTTATGTTACTGCATGTCCATTTAATTCATAGCAACACGAAGTAGTAGTGATTGAATTTCTTTTCTCTTATTTTGCCTCCTTTTTGCCTGATGTTTCTCCAACGCTTAAAATTTTAAGATATTGACATCGCATACCTTAAATTCGGCTAAGAGAAGGGAGACGTTCCACCGATTCTCAGTCTGTCAAGGGGGATTAATGCAATGGAGCTTGCAGAATTATGCCTAGGATCTCCCTCCAGGCGATTGAGAAAAATCACATCACTGAGAACAAAAACATTGGGGGTGCTCAAGCCTTCCGGTTCTAGTCCACCTGACCTGATTCCTATGTAACCGAGCAAGTTTGAGCTTAGATTTTGCATTATGCAGATATACCAAAAATGAGACAAGCCGATTTAAGATGAAAATATACATTAACTATCTAAAGGTACATTGGTTTTATTGGTAAAGATAATTCAAGACAGATACAAGACAGAAAGAATCAAAGTGTTTGTATGTATTATAACAATGAAACCACAGTTCCCTCTCCTTCGGTTAAACAGCTCTAATTTTCATTGTAACGTGTTTGAGAGAGAAATAATACCCTTTCCATTCATACCAGATAATACCATTGCCATACTGGACAAGAGCACTTTGGTGATAATCTCCATTCAGGTTTGAATGATGACATTTATTGTACCACCAAGCACCTTTGAATTTAACAGCGCAATTCTCATTGAATAAGTCGTTGTCAGAATCTTTGGTTGTAAAAGCCATGTTTTCATGCAACCTTAGAGCATTACCACCAGCATTACCTGTGAGAAACATAAACAAAATATTTTGAGTTTCTGTTCAGAAAACCTAAATAGCCTCGTCTGCTTGAACTATGTTGGCAACAATTTTTCGTCTGTTAACACAGTATACACGTGCGTGCATGACAGACCGCAATATATAACTGAATACAAATACTTGCTTAAGATTGATCGTAATACGATCAATAATATATTTCGTAAAATTCAAAACTAATTTAAGGTATATATTTTGCATGAATTTTGTTCTCGCAAAAGGGTGGCCGGGCGGGAAATGTGAATTTGTTATGTTTCTCTGTCGCGAATATAAAATTAATATTCAATAAGCCTTTCCCATGATGACGTCATGACAATCAAACTTTGGCTGACATCGGACTACCGCTTTTAACGTCACCATGGAGAAAGCTTATAGTAAGGAATATTAAACCCTTACTTCATTTTATGTCGAATGAATAGCAGCGGCAAGGTGACAGCTCTTTAATTGGTAGTATGAAACTGCGATATCAGCTAGACATCGGAGGTTCTTAGCACAATTGAAACGTTTGTATGATTATTTCAAAGTCCTGGCAGTATAACTAATTTCTTGCAGCCTTTTTTTAGCAAAGTAATCGACTAGCGCGTCGTCGAGCTAACCGCGCGGTAGATCGTAAACTCCCTGGGCCTTCATCAGTGCACTTACCTGAATATACATTTATATTTAAGTGACGTGTAGATGTGTATTCAGATAATTGCACTGATGAGGGCCCGGATTAACGGACTAAAAGCTTTGCAGTATTTAATACTTACGCGGTGTACCTACAAGCTAATTTAATTATGTTTGAAATTAGTTTATAAAAGAATACTTTTCATGCCGTCGAGAAGCCGTGTCTTATTTCAAGGCGTCGCTGGGATGGCAACACTGTCATCGGACCACAAATTATACATACTTATCTTCTCACGTGTGGAGTTTCTTTGTTTTGGAAGCGCGTCGTCGAGCTGGCCGCGTCGTGAATGGTAAACTCTCTATTTAATACTTACGTGGTGCACCAAATTTAATCATTGATGTCACCATGCAAACATACAAGAATATTAATTTCAAACATACCTGAATATACTCCGAGATTTATTCGATATTTGTCACTTTCATTAGAAATTGAAACATTGGTATATTGGGCAAAACGGGTGTTTCCAGAAAAATCTTCTAGTTCAATCCGAAGTTCATGCTTTTGGCTTTTTGTTATTCTGTGAATTTTTTCGAGACCAAGCCAATGTTCACCGTACAAGGTGCCAAAACCTGTCTTGTAATCTTGCCATCCTCTGTAGAAGTTGACACTTCCATCAAGACGACGTTGAAATACAGTCCATCCTCCACCTGATGTTGTCATGTCACAAAATACCTTGAATTTTCCGTTGCCATCAGGATCAATGTAGTAAAGTCCGTCCTCAGTTGCTCCAAGATAAAGGTTGTCAGCACAACTTCTTGCTAAAATGAAGAATAAGTCTACGTATTTGGGGTATTCATTAAATCGACAATGCAAGAAATATGCCACTGCATTCAGATTTGCTGCGTCATTCTCAAGAGTGGCTGAAAAATTAAAAGTTTTTGTATTTTGTTTGAACAAATTTTCACTATAAAAAAACAGTATTTGCTCACTCGTGATACATGTAGGACGGCAACACGACTACGACGTGACTGTATTATCCTTTAAATAAATGCTATGGCAAAGTGGTTGTTGCATAGTATTAATTGTACCGATTTAGTGAGATATAAGGCGTTAAAAACATTGTGTTTATGTTTAAGGACAATTCTATAGAGCCTAATTCGAGGTAGGCCTCTCTGGGTCCTGAAATGCAAACGGTCTAGGAAAAAAACGACGTTTTGCCGTTGTAAACAGAACGAAAATGACGTCTAAAACCCATCATAGGTCTTTAATTATTAATTTCTTTTCAATGGTCCAGTGTGTTGATAGCCGTCGTCGTCGCGTTCGCGTCCTACATTAGAGCTGTAGTAATTACTCGAGCTAAAGCGAAAGTCTTTTAAGACTTTAAAAATTCAGCTTATCTGCGTCTTTATTCTGGTTTATCTTGCATGGTTGTGCGTGCAATGTGTTAATGTGATGTCATAGATTTTAGTTGGCGCAACTCAAAATCGAGACACAGTAGCTACAGTGAGCTAGTTTCAGTGTAAGCGCACATCCACGGGTCTGTAAACTTTAGTGGTCATCGTCACCGGATATTGCCAGTATTGATGCTTTTCAAGCAGTAAATGACAAGTTTAAACCTAACATTTATGAGTCCCTACGTACAAAAGTCACCCCCCCCCCAATTAAAGAATATATTAAGGTTAAAATTAATAAAGGTTATACAAAAAAATAGGCAATTCTAGAGCGAAAGAAAAAAAACAGTATCCTGCCGATAGCGCCTAGCATGGAATAATACCCAAGTAATAATCCATTAAGTGATCAAGTTGCATTACAAAAAACGTTTCCATCGCACGCTCTACTCGTGCAAATAGTTTTTCGCTCCATTGCTTTCTTCGTAGACTAGCTTGGTAGCTCCTCTATTAAATCCTGAAATGCAACTCACAAATCTTCTTATACGCATATATAGTTCAATAATTTAGGCCATACAAAAATTCCTGTTTCTCATGATGTCATCATCAGTGCTTAAATGCGGCGCGCGTTTAGTTTAGCGTTTATTTGGCATAATGCGCACCTACCCTCAAAATGCGAACCTACCCGAGAATGCGCACTTACCCCCACAATGCGCACTCACCCCCACAATGCGCACCTACCTCCACAATGCGCACCTACCCCCACAATGCGCACCTACCCCAACAATGCGCACCTACCCCCATAATGCGCATTTTAAATTTAATTTCATTCAAAAATTCACAAGCTGGAAAAACCTGTCATGCAGCATAAAGTATAGAAGACTTATTAAGAACAGTGTGCTTATTCAAAAACGAGAGTTGCCCAAAATTTCAAGTCATACCACATTCCAAGAGCACATGCATGCACATGCATACACAAGAAATGTATCGGTTGTGTCTTACTACTTTCTAGATGAAATATGAATGTTGTTAATTTGATACCTTCCCGATGAACACAACTACCACAGGTTTTTTTAACTTGTCTTAATTCACTCCCTAAACTTGAAATTTCATTCTCCATTCTCGACAGCGCATTCTTGATAGCGAAAATCTCTGGTTTGAGGCCACAGGTGGCTACAGTAAAGTTTCTTTTTACCATACACAGTTCTCCATCTTCAAAATATACAGCATCCACGCTAAAGGAAATAATTTTCTTGCAACAAAATTGAATTGTAAGGTGTCACTACAAGGGCGGGACTGGCAAAATTTGTGCTGAGTTGTAATGTAGGTTTGCTCAATTAGTTGCTAAAGTTTAGACTTGCAATGCCACGATGTTTTACGAAAATAAAAGCATTTTGTTTCTAAAAAATATAGACTGTTTTCTGGTTTGCATGCAAATTGGAATTAGCATCATATGTGGTGTAACAGCTGTCTAAAATGGACAAAACACTTCTAGACGTTTCGACCTGAGGGCCTTCGTGAGGAGAGTTAGTATGAAAATAAATAGAGGAGAATACATGTTTTGTATGGGGGCAAAACATGTGATAAAAATGGGCTAATAGAAAACAAAAAAAATCAGAGAGACGCCTGATTGTGAGTTAAGAATAGCCCGCAATGACGGAAGTCTATTCAGAAACGAGATCAGACGCTTCACCCCGGTTATATTGCAAATTGAATTTTATTGAATATACCCCACTGCACCACCCCATGATAATTAATGCATGGTTATATCCTGGTCTTTATCAAACGTCAGTAAACAAAACAGCTTGACAAGTTAAATGGCTGACTAGTGAAAGAAATCATAATCTTTTAGACACGGGTAATATGAGTATAATAAGTGTACAAATCGACTTAATTTCTTTAGACTTATTGCAGCAAAAAACGGCCCAAATTTTGGTTGAATTCGCTACAAATCTGCCCAATTTTTCTATACATTGAAAATCTTCTGGGAGAGCAGTTGCCCTATCCGTATGCATATATATTTCAAAATATGTTGCAATACAGCCGACAGCAATATTATAAAGTTCAAATTTCATTAATACACAAGGCGCAGACTGATTATAATCACATTGTTTAAATCCCTAAGTTTGCTTTAACCGTATAAAGCCCCGTTTACACTACACTCAATTTATCGTCGCGGCACGGCTCTAATTGGTACGGGTACCCATCTTAGCCGTGCCGTGCCAATAAATCGAGTGTAGTGTAAACGGGGCCTATGGTAACGTAATGATGTATTATGCATGGAATTCAATTCATTCCATGTCGCCGTCTCTGGCTTATACACCGAATTAGATTACTTTCTCGTATTACTACTAAATAATACTTCAATTTCATAGAGTGAGCAATACATGCACTGACCTGTTCAGTGAAACGCAAGGTATAATTTTGAAGAAAAATATATTTTCATTTCAACATATGGCCTTCTTAGTGATAATTGAATTTGTTGCCACGGTGAAGCCATGATTGAAAATGCAGTTTCTCAGTCACTCAAAATTTAACAGCATGTCATGCCGTTCAGTTACAGCAATATTCTTCCCCTTAAGATAGATTTTCCATGACTTCAAAATACACGAGGCATTTATGATGGCTCGGGCCGCCCATCTCAGATCTCTTTAACAAACATTTTCGCACGCATAACAGGGAGTCTATTTGGGCGCCCCTAATGAACGCCTTTTTACACCTGAAAGAGTATATTAACTTATACAATTTCTACTATTATTTGGCTACTTACCTTAAGATGGCCAAGATAAATGGGAAGAGAAACTGAACCATGTTACTTCGCTGCATGTTGAGATATGTGTGACTGGTTATCCCAGATTAAGGAAAATTTGTAGCGAAGAGGCAGAACGAGTGATTTGATTACGTGTGTTATCCTGTCATCAAGTAATTATATACAAACATTTTAATTGATTTCCTATCTCAGGTTGTCACAGATCACAGGCGGCGGTGTAAAAATATTTGCGTGTTTAAAATTTTCGTGTTTCTTATAAAATTAAAAAAAAATTAAAAACGCAGAAATGTAATGGAATGACAAATAATTTCAAAGCCAAGTCAAATTTTAGAGCCTCCTAGTGTCTAGTGAGTTTGTTGGTGATTTCGTGCGAGAGGATAATTGTGCAAATTCTTCTCAATCTGATTCTAACCAAGGGCTGTTCACATGAGCCCAGTTACCCGAGATTCAACGAAGCGTGATATGATTTTGAGGTAGTGAAATGGCAATTGATAAAAGGAGAATAGTGCGAATAGTCGGCGAATAGTGCGAATAGTCGACGAATAGTCGGCAAACACACTAAATAGTCTGCGCCCAGACCAGACGCAGAACTGTTACCCGAGCGCCCACCTGCTGAGCCGCGCGGACTACAAGATGACTGAAATGTCCGAGTCGACGGAAACACTTTGTGACTGTGAGGTATTTATTCATGTTTTTTTTCTTTATTAAACTATATAATTAGAATCAAAAGTATACTCAGAGATCGAGCTCTATGAGTCTATGTAGTGGCCGGAGGTGTATGTTGATATAATAAAGGAACTAGAGTACATTATAGAGCAATTGCATATTTTCGACATGTAATTATGCAAATTCACTTTGAATTTGTCATTTGTATACAAACTACAAAGATTTGCGTCTGTAAATTGTTCTATGTGGATGAAATAAACTGTGTGCATACAATTTATAACACTAGCACTAAAAACCCACACACGCGGCCGTGCCGTAGGCACATAACAGACCTTTAGAACCACAAATGTTCTGTTCACACTTCACAGTGCCAAAATCGGAAAATCGTCACTGAAATTGTGTATGTTTTTCTTTTAGAAGGAAGTTATTTATATTTCTAGCTCGGAATCTGAACCTTGCCCAAAAAAGGTATGTGTATAACTATATATACTATAATTTGACCATGCATCAACATGTCCAATTTATGTAAATAAGAGTATTGTTTTTTCTTATACACTATAATTGCGTTATGTTAGGTTATTTTATGATATACTTATGGGGTTTACTATGTTTGGAACTTTAAGGAACTTTTTAAAAAGTCGATAACTTTGTGTTTTTTTTCTATACTAAATAATAGATTCTTTGTATATTACTGCCAGAACACTTAGATGAATTGCATTGTTTTCTAACAGGTTTTTGAATTCCCCTCTCCAAAAAAATAGTTACTGTAAAACGTATTGTGGAATTTGTATTATTCGTTTTGTAAAGTATGGTCGGAATTCGATCGCTAGAAGAATATGTCACAATGCGACTATTCGTCGACTATTCGCACTATTCGTCGACTATTCGCACTATTCGCCGACTATTCGCACTATTCGTCGACTATTCGCGCTATTCGTCGACTATTCGCGCTATTCGTCGACTATTCGCACTATTCTCCTTTTATCAATTGCCGTAGTGAAATGAGCAGATAACATGATCCTGACAGTCGTATAATCACCAAAACAAGCATGTGTGCTTGTTTGGTGTCATAAAGATTTATTTCAATACCTCGAGCTCGAGTAACCGAGCTCATGTAAACAGCCCCTGTTTCCCACTGTCGCGTTTTTTGTACCTACGTCACGCACGTAAAAGTTTAAAATAGTTTAAACAATACTTATGAAATCAACGATGGAATGGATGCATAGGATTGGATTCTGTTGATGATTTGGTGTGCAATAATAACTATACTTAGCCTACTAACTGAGCATGTATATCTTTCCGTATAGACCGAACATGCAGTCAAAGTTGGTAAGTTTTTTATTATATGGCATAATCCATGCGTATATTGTAATGATTAATTTTTTCATCACATCCGAGCACACGCAACCGAAACATTCAGATTTAATTACTTCTGGAGCCGGCCTGACGACAGTGGCGAACAAAAGGGGAAAAAGCACTTTATTTTAGTGTAAAATATTAACACAACATCATAAATTATTTAATATTAATGAAGATCGAACGATATCAACAAATCATAAAACTTTAGTTCAGGCTTTATCTGGCTTAAAACTAAAAGTTCCGTATTAAATGTGATTAAAGCCAGATTTAAAATGGTTTGAAATATTTTGTCGATGAACTGGCAACGGTCCAACAGAAACATTATAATCGTTACATTTCAGGAAAATAAAAACTCGCTTTCAGAATGCTCCTCATCAGTCATCTCGTTAATTTTTATTTTATGCACATACAATTAGCCGAAATTTAATGTTTTCGCCGTTTTCGTTTTGCTGTGTTTTTCACAGGGCAATAAGAATTGCGTATTGCGCGCGGACCTGTCAGCAACAAATCAAATTGCATGATAAACCAAAACAAACGCTTGCCATATAATAAGATTAATTATATAACAGCGAAGAAGATTTTAATCTTTTAGCCTTAATCTTTTAGATTTTTAGCCTTATGTCCGTTTGTCTGTATTCAATCAGTTTCATATATTTGTGAGTCAAACTTGTGATTTAGAGCATAAGAATGTGAGAAAAACTACACGAATTGTTTTCTAGACTAAAACCTAAGATATACACACTTCAAATTTAAGCCAGGAACAGTTGATGGAAAAACTAGTCAACTAAGAGGTACCGCTGACAAGAGCAAGCGTGGTTAATGAGTATATAATGCTCATGACCCTTTCCTGCATCGAGTGAAGTGCCAAAAATCATAATTGATTTACCCTCACTTATCCCCGGCATTACTATCATAACACATTAACCACGCTTGCTCTTGTCAGCGTAACCTCCGTAGCTCAGTGACAAGAGCATTCCACCGGCATCGCAAAAGCGTAGGTTCGATTCCTGCCGGTCTTGCCGGAGGACCTATAGTTTTTAGACTAGTTTTTGCAACAACTGTTCCTGGCTTGAATTTGAAGTGTGCAATTAAGACCCTTAAACCTCTAGAATTTTTCTGCACTGAGTGAAGTGCCAAAAATCATAATTGATTTACCCTCACCTAACCAGACTGCCGAGAAGATGCCCAGACTGCCGAGAAGATTTAATAGCTTGGTCGTCGGGACCTTATACCACCCCCCAAGTGCTGACGACTCAGCAATGCTGGATTATTTATCCAACTGTCTCTCTACATTGGAATCATGCTATCCTAATTGTGGTTTTATTATTCTGGGCGACTTTAATCAGTTAAATATCAACCGATTAAAACTAAGCTATAACCTACGTCAACTTGTTAACTTTCCAACACGTGGCAGAAATACTCTTGATCTCGTCTTGACAAATCTTTACGAATACTACGATCAACCGGTAAAGTATGCACCATTCGGTCTCTCTGATCATATGTCTGTAGAATTTAAACCAAAAGAACGATGTCAACCCCAAAGAGCGCAGAAAAGAGTGGTGAAGAAAAGAGATCTACGTCCGAGCTCCCGTCTTGCATTCCGTAAATATTTGGAACTGTTGGACATTCCCAGCATGTTTGACAAAGCCCCTTCTTGCACAGAAAAAATCTCCCTCTTGGAAACCATTGTAACTACTGGTCTGGATTATATTCTCCCACTGCGCTCAACTACATCTCGGTGTAATGAACCTCCCTGGATGAACTCAAAATTATCATTATTAATTAAGAAACGCCAGAAAGCTCTTAACCAAGGAAATATTACCCAATTCAAGTACTTGAGAAATAAAGTAAACCGCAAAAGGAAAAGTTGTCGTGCGAAGCATTATGAAAATAGCATTCAACATCTTAAAGAATGTAAACCATCCTCTTGGTGGAATGAGGTTAAGAAGCTCAGTGGAGCAAAATCTACTAGCGGAAATAACGAAGAAATCCTTAAAGCCTTAAGACCTGATGAACACCTTACGGAAACAGATAAAGTAGATATTGCAAACGAGATAAATGATTCTTTTCTTTCCCCAATGGCTGAATTTACTCCTCTCACTCCAGAGAATTACCAAGATCTGTTATTTGGCGCAGCTAATGATTCTACTGTCACAATTGCTGCAGGAGACGTATTTAAAAAACTGTCAACGCTTAATCCAAGGAAAGCCCACGGCCCTGATGGAATACCAACATGGGTGTTAAAAGAGAATGCTGATTTATTGGAACTTCCAGTCAAAGAGATCCTAGATAGTTCTTACCGCGAATGCCGTATTCCACAATCTTGGAAAGAGGCCGACATTATTGCTATCCCTAAAAAGAAACCCATAACTGACATTAATAACAACCTACGTCCAATATCATTAACACCTATTTTATCAAAACTGGCCGAAGAATTCGTGGTTGAACAACACCTAAAACCTGCGGTATTAGCCACAATTGATAAAAGGCAATTCGGATCCATCCCGAATTCAAGCACTACGTATGCCCTTATCAGCATGCTTTTTTTGGAATAAAAACACGACGGAAATGGCTCTAAATCAGAATTATGCTTTTTGACTTTCGTAAGCTTTCGGAAATGGCTCATACATCATGCTTTTCCTCGCACGAAAACTGTTAAAATACAACATCCCAAAACCTATATTGCATTGGATCTTAGACTTCCTCACTGATCGCAGTCAGAGAGTTAAACTTAGCGATGACTGTTTTTCCGAGTGGAAGGCTGTGCCAGCGGGTGTCCCCCAGGGGACAAAATTAGGCCCTTGGCTTTTCTTAATCATGATGGACGACCTTGATGTTGCTGATAACAAGAACCTTTGGAAATACGTAGACGATTCAACTATGTCTGAAGTCATAAATAAAGATCAACCTAGTATAATGCAAGCGTATGTCAACGAATTCTCTTCAAAATCCAGAAGTGATGGTATGCAGTTAAAAGAGTCCAAATGCAAGGAACTTCGAATAAGTTTCTCAACTGTAAAGAGAGAGTTTGATCCTATTATTATCAACGACAAAAACATCGAAGTAGTCCAGTGTGAAAAACTACTCGGTTTAACCATCTCCGACAACCTCAAATGGAATAAACATATTGAGACTGTATGCAAGAAGATTTCAACTCGTCTATACTTCTTGCGACAATTGAAACGGGCAAAGTTACCATCCAAGGATCTTCTCTTGTTCTATGTTACTTGTATTCGGCCGGTTGCTGAATACGCGTGCGAAGTATTCCACGATTCCCTTACAAAATACCTGTCAGACGATCTCGAAAGATTACAACGCCGAGCTTGCAGAATAATCCTCCCCGAACATTCGTACGAGGATGCACTTAATCAACTAGGTCTCATGTCACTGTTCGATCGAAGACAAAATTTGACCGATAAACTTTTTCGGCAAATTGTTAATGATCCGCAAGACAAATTACACCATTTATTACCAGCATTAAATTTATCTGAGGCATCTCTGAGAGAAAGAAGAATATTTCAAGTTCCAAACTGTAGAACATTTAGATTTAAAAACGATTTTATCAATTTCAACTCTAGTAAATACGTATAATATATCTGAGACACTAAATAATGTAAATAGATAGTTTTACCAATTGAACCTCCACTTTTATGGATTTTAATAACATAGATCATACTTTTTGTAACACTTAAGGTTTTTCAGCCGGAGCCTATTGCCGAGGCTGCAAGTTTTAAGTCAATAAACCATCTATCTATCTATCTATCTATCTAAAAACTAAGATAGGCGCTTTTTAGCAGAAATTAAGTGAAAAAATAATTTTGCTGTATACTTGGCGCCCAATATTGTACGTGCATTATATGTAACAATACCCAAAAAGATAATTCATATAATTCAATACAAAACTGACCTAGAAAGACTGAAGATTCAATTTCATTTTTCTAATATAATCAAAAACAATGTGTAATGCAATGAATGTTCTCCGAACAAAGTCAGCTAAAGGGACACATCATTTGCATCCAAATGCATATCATATCGGGAATGCTGCCCCCTCCGCGCTTTTCGCGTGTCACACCCTAGCTAAATTTAAAACGCTTCCCTTAATTAATATGTTATACGATATTGTGTGGTTTGTGCATTGTTAAACGCCTGCATGCCCTAAAGGTATTTTAAGTGCTTATCTGTTGGTCAGTTCAATGTACATTAGGTTCCATTAAGGTCCATTAATGACCTTCAATTTTCATGCACATATGGTAAGTAAAACGCGTAAGTAAAAATCATTGCACATGCATGGGAAATGCTTTTTTAATATTTTTATCTGTGGTTGTTCAAAACTAATGCGTGATAGTGTGTGAATTTATGTGTGCTGCTGATCATTGCTCGCCAGTTTTTGATTAAAACCTCCCTGGAAAACCGCGGTGTCGCATCACATCCGGTGCGATTTTGCGCACGAATCATTGTTTGTGAAGTGTAATCCATGCATACAGCCAGCCTGTACATAAAAAATAATTTAACATTTATAAGCTCTACTATAATTAACTACATAAACCAGAGTACCTCCTATTAATTCAGAAGAGCTCGATTTTCCGTTTCCTTTCCAATATCATGACTCGCGTATCCCTCTGAACTATTGAGTCTCAAGTCCAGGCAGAGTTGTAGATATAGATGAAAGACAACACCTTTCTCTCCTCTAACGATTTGTTTTGCAGTTTCATAATTCCGTGAGAACAATGTTGAGAACTTCCAGACTTTCCTGACATGTCGAGGGAAATCACACTTTATAATGGGTTTACGGCTTGTGATTGTAAGGCGGCGTTTCTCATGCAAGGCCTGGTTTATACAGCGAGCTATGAACGACGTATGGTCTCGCACGCTAGGCAATCTTATACGGCGACGTGGGATAGAAATAATTTGGATATGAGTGCATGTACGAAACAAACTCTGAATAACTTCGTATGATAGATAATTGTTGCTTGAAACAATATATAGCAAATCAGCGAATTATTTCGTGCGCTCACTGCGCTCTGCAAATAAACGTCAAATAGCGTGGCGTGGATAAACCACAAATCTCGTGATTTGATAAACTTTTGTTTATATTTGGGATGTTATGATTTACTTTTTTTACTATTCTTAGTCTGAGCGTGCATTCGATAAAAACACAGATCAAATATAAAAAAATTCTCGCGGATCAACTATATGCCTGACTGCCTTCGGCATCAGAAATTACTTCATCATTCTGCTCGCCAGCTTCGCCAACCAGGGTAAAAACTTTCAGTAAAAATATTGCTGTTGTTTGGTATACTGGGGCCGGTTGTATGAAAGCCGGATAGCGCTATCCATCGGATAGTGATTTTTTCAACCGTTCTAAAAATGCTTGGAGAGCAATAAAATTTCAGTGTTGGAACCAGCAATTGTTGAAAAGGATCATAAATTTAGGAATAAAAAGATTTAATCAAAGTTATAGCAAACAACGGGTGATTTTAAAGCTATTGAAAAAACCACTATCCGGTGGATAGCGCTATCCGGCTTTCATACAACCGGGCCCTGTTGATTAAACATTCTACAAAACGGAGCCAGCAACGATAGTAAATTTCAATCGTACTATTACTTAAGGATACTATCAAACGAACGCTTTCTTTACATTCTGAACTATTTTTTTTTTAATACGAGCTGTCTGCGTATCTCACACATTATTTGTTCTCTTTGATGAATATGACAAGATGAATATGACTCTAGTCTTTGTACAAGAGTATTCACGGGCAGAACCGATGCAAAAACCCAACTGGACAATGCATTTGTCCTAAATACAGTACTCGCCATCGCATAATAGGGATCTTAAGCATGTACTATGTAGGATTGGAACTCGACGACGGCAGCTATCAATACAATGCTTCATTGAAAAGAAGTGAATTATAAAATACCTATAGGAGTTTTAGACGTGATCTACGTTCTGTTTACAACGACAAAACGTCGTTTATTACGTCCTTTGTAGAACGTCTATGTTCAGGAACCAGTGAGCGCTACCTCGAATTAAGCCCTATAGAATTGTCCCTGAACGTAAACAAAATGTGTTCAACGTCTTATATCTCATTAAATTGGTACAGTTGACAATATACAAAAACGTTTTATCATAACATTTATTTAAATAAAGGAGTATTCCAAGTTTCCAACCACGTCGTCGTCGTGTTCAAAATTTTGTAAAATGCGGAAAATATATAGCCATGCAAACTGCGAAGTTTGCTGCAAATTTTGTATACTTTTGTATTACGTGCGGAAATGTGTAGGTAAATTAGTTACACACTTTAGGCCGGGGGTCGGAATGCCATTGTGTTGCCCTCAAATAATATAAAACAATATTTGCGGCGCCTTTGCGGAATATATCGCGCTTTTCAAATCCGGCGTTTATAACGCGTGCGTGTGCCTGCAAGGCAAGATAAAGCCCGTTTTCCGTGACGTAATAAGGATGCTTTCGATTGCTTGCGGAAAAAAAAACGGCCACGACACAACTGTCTGTCCATGGGTTAATCTCCCCGTAATTCGTAAATACTGTTTTAGTGCTTTATCGAGATCATGACTGCAGACGAGTTTCCAGGTGATGTCTTGATCGACTATATCCATCGACTATTACACAAATATATCCATACAAATCTATTACAACCACAGTTAGATAACTTTATTTCCAGCACTTCAAAGAGGTATCTTCAACAATATTTAAAAAGTTTACACATTATTTTCGGGAATTGATGATTGATAGTAAAGCGTGGGGAAATTTGCTCCCAGCAATGTCATAAATTGTTTTTCCAAATTCACACCATTTTGATATATGGACGTATTTTGCTAAAAAAAGAAAAGCGACATATAAGCAGAAGCATGCAGCGGTCACAGGAAGTATATAAACTAAGATAATACTGTGTTCAAGTAGTAAAAAACTGCTCAATTTTTAAAGTATTCTGAGTCTAAAAATTACATGCCAATTATAGATGTTCATAATAGCTGGAAACTGATTTTTGAGCAGTTCAGTTCAGAACATTTGTAAAATCATTACCGTCACCATAATTACATAAATTATAAAAACCTTCTTCTTGGCTAACAAAAACGTTGGCAATCTGCATGAAGTATTCTACGTAAATCTTATCTTATATATCTAACTTAATCTAATCTAATAAACTCTTTGGATTTAAAACTTACCGGATTAAAAAGATAACAGTTATCAAATAACAATTTCATATCGTCAACAAAATCATACACTGAATCATAGTTTATAGTTTGTAATTTCGTCTTGATGGCCGTCAAATCAATTGGATTTTTTATTATTTCGTAATATTTAGGGACCTAAAATATAAAAAAATCAGAAACAGTTAAAAAAAAAACATGCCCGCTACCTCTGCATGGTTATCTTGAAGTTGAATGCAGGTTTTCTTTCCACCCCGTCTTATGAAACATTAGGAACCTTAAGCATATTAGACGGCAACACGACGATGACGCGGTTGAAATTCTCGTTTAAATAAATGCTTTGGCAAAGTGGTTGTTGTATATTATTAATTGTACCGATTTAGTGAGATATAAGGCGTTAAAAACATTGTGTTTGTGTTTAAGGACAATTTTATAGAGCCTAATTCGAGGTAGGGCTCGCTGGGTCCTGAAATGCAACCGTTCTAGGCAAGACGTAAAAAACAACGTTTTCCGTTGTAAACAGAACGAAGAAGACGTCTATAACTCATCATGGGTATTTAATTATTCATTTCTTTTCAATGAGCCATTGTATTAATAGCCGTCGTCGTCGCGTTCGCGTTCTACATGCTAAAGGTCGCTATTGAACCCGGTATTACAGTTACAAAGTAATCATGCTGTCTAGAAAATGTAGTACTAAATATTGAAATCGCGTGCGGTTCCATAAAACCATACAAACGATTTTAAAATGAAGATATCCTTATAATTATGAAGACTACCGTACGAAATATTTCCAGAGGATCTCGCGTGACTAATAACGCCTTCACGAGAAGTAAAAGAACATAAGTTTACATTGTGCTGCAGCATGGTGTGCATTATGCAGCAGGAGTTACTGTAGTAAAGTTACACCCACCACAGTTGTTTTTGATGCCTTAGATCAAACACTATAATAGACATTTTTCACCTTTTTAGGGTCAACTGGTCTAGCAAACGGGAATGAATCATCTGAGACCCACAGTTCGGTTAATAACTTGTCACACAGCTGAAATAAAAACAGTGAAACAATAAGAACTTTATTTACATTTATAATTCATAACTCCGTTATGTCGAGAAGCTAAGGAGTAACTACAACACACACAAGACAATAGTAGCTCTAAAAAGCAATATCATTTTTTACTTGATAAACAAAACTACAAAAATTATACCCCTTAGGTGGGCTTGCCACTGTTCGTAAAGTTCGTCACAAACAAGAAATGATACTCACATTCAATTCTTTCGACGCCTCAGTGCGTCTTGATTTTCTTGGAAAAGGAAGTAAGAGGCTCTTTTCGGAAAGTTTCCTCTTAACACTTTTGTTTTCCTTACATTTACTGCTTGGATCTAAAAACATCACACGCAGTTTCACATAAAAAGCCAGTCACGATTTCACCAACTCTTTCCACAAGCGCTGAAGGATATCAAAGTTTTTTTATGATAAACCGAGAAAGGTAGACAAAGATATTACTCGAATTAATACAAATCTTACATCAAGTTTTTTTTAAGGCGATCTGTCTTTCTCGAACATGAATTTATTATTATCTTATACTTAAGCAGATAAATCAGAATGAAAATCGTTTTGTGTAGATATCAGATGGTTTGGTCTTGCTTGTGCTTTTAAATGTTGAACGTTGCTCATCATAGATGTATATATAGATATATAGACTAGACAATGCATCTTTGAAATTAGGCCAAAAAAACGATTGTCGGCGATTGCCCAAAAAAAAGAGAATTGGGACTATAGCAAACGAAAAGGTCGCTGACTTGATTCCCACGGTGGTTTAAGCTAATTTTTCAGCTTGCTCTTTATCTTACCATGATTGCCATCTGTCTTCTGGTTTAAATCCTTTGCATCTTTTGTATTTCTCGGAGTTTCTGAATCAAGTGACTCGTTAGAACGACAAGAACATACTCCTTTCTGTTCGTTCTCGTTGTTGACATTATTAACAGCCAATGGTCGTAAAGTCATGTCCTTACAATTGAATTAAAATTTGTCAAAACAAGAAAAAGAAAACAAATACTAAAACAATGGCATAAACACAGAAATTCTTCGCCCACCTCTTCTGGACTGGACAACATTGGACTTGAATTTCGAGAAAATCGAGGCATCAGCGGATACGGGGTTTCATCGTCTTCTCCTGTTACACTAATTGGCGGAGAACATATAGAGACTTGAGGTGGAGTAGGAAATGTTTCCCCAACGTCGTCTTTCTCCTTTGCATCAAAATTCTCTTCAACACTTTCATCAAATTTGTTTGGCTTCTGCTCGCTTTTGTAAACAACATTTCTTGATGCTTGAAGAGAACCATAATTTCAAAACTTGTTTTAGAAAACAAAATCAAGACATGCGATTTCAAACGATTTGGAAAAAAATATGCAAAGCTCAATTTTGAAGTCACTGTCAACGTCAATTTACATTTGCCTGAAATTCGGATTAAAGAATCTTGCCGTCGACTTCATATTGCTTTTAAAGCGCGATTCA